AAAAAAAAAAAAAAAAGATGACGAAGGAGGAAGAGGAGGAGAAGGAGGAGGAGAAAGGAGGAGGAACTTTGGCTGACACGTGGCACGTGGCACTTCGATTGATAAAGAAAACTAACGAGGAGGAGGAGGAGGAGGAGGAGGAGGAGGATCTGCCGGTTTCTTGATACCTCAACGAAAAAAGAAAAAAAAAGAAAAGGATGACGAAGGAGGAGGAGGAGGAGGATGAGAGAGAGCGAGAGAGAGAGAGAGAGAGCTGACACGTGGCACTTCGCGCAACGGTACCGTATCGATGACGACGGGCAGCGGCGGCGGCAGTGACGACGGGCACTTCGGAGATGGCGGGCAGCGACGGGCGTTGACTGTGGGCGCACGACCTCGGCGAATGCCGGGCAGCGACGGGCAGCAACGGACGACGATGGGGCGGGCGTCGACGGCAGGAGAACAACCTCGGCGGGCAGCAACGGCCGAAGGCGGGGCGGGCAGCGGCGGGAGCACCTCGATGCTGCGAATTCGAAGCAGCCGTGCGACGGAAATATTTTGCGCGGGGAGCGGGGAGGCTCCCAAGGCCCAGAATTGTCGAAACAGCACCCCCCCCCCGCGCAAAAATGCGCTGGGCCCACCTGGCATCGAACCGGGGGACCCAACCGGCCGGGCCGCCCGGGACCCTTGCCGGACGGAGGCTGGGCTGCCGGGCGGCCCGAAATTTAACACAGGTTTTCCACAATAAATCATTACTAGGTGAAGTATTGTATATTTAGAAATTGAAATATACATTTTTTTAATTATATCAAAAGATCATGTGTATAGTCTGTGGGCAAACTTCCTCTCTTTTAATGTCTTTTAAAACTTGTTTTTAAAAATTTTTCTTCCGGTTTTTTTATTTTAACTTGTGTTTGACTAAAAATTTGAAGATGTCTCCGAGACAAAAGTTGTTTGTGCTATTATTTTACATAACATATATTTTTTGGCAAGGATTTTATTGTTAACTTTATAATTGCTTTAGACTCATTGGAGTCTATAAAATGTTGGAAACGACATATAGCCCTATATGCCTGTTTTTTTACAACTTTGGAGTTTGTTTTATTGGAGCTCCGATTTTTTCCAATCTATTGAAAATGACTTATAGTCATACTTGCGCCGAGGCTTGTGGCGCATCGATGTGCTGTGCGATGCGGTGCGGTGCGCAGCGCGCCGTGTGCCCGTCGGGGATGCGTGCATTGATGCGCGACGCGCGCGCATCGATGCACAGTGCGCAATGGGGGATGCGCTGCGCGGCACTTGGATGCGCCGTGCGCCAGTTCGCCGGGGCGTGCGCGTGCCGCGTGCATTTGCGCGCATGGTGCGCTCGGGCATGGAGGGAAGGGGAGGACAATGACGGAGGGAGATGATGGGTGACGAGGGAGGGAATGGAGGAGTGAGGAGGAGATCAATAGCGATGGAGGAGGGGGAAGGGAGAAGGGCGGAGGGAGGACGACACCGATGATGGAGGGAAGGGGAGGACAACGACGAAGGGAGGAGGAGATCGATGACGAGGGAGGAGGAGATCGATAGCGAGGGAGGAGGGGGAAGGGAGAAGAGTGGAGGGAGGGCGACGCCGATGATGGAGGGAGGGGGAGCAGTGGTGCACTTCAAAATTTTGTATATGAAAGAAAAAAAGAAAAAAAGGAAAAAAGGACGACATGATGAAGGAGGGAGGGGGACAACAGCGATGGAGGGAGGAGGAGATCGATGACAAGAGAGGGAATGGAGGTGGGAGGAGGAGATCGATAACGAGGGAGGAGGGGGAAGGGAGAAGGGCGGAGGGAGGATGACGCCGATGATGCATGAGGGAGGGGGAGGATAAAGACGGAGGGAGGAGGAGATGATGAGGGAGGGAATGGAGGATGGAGGAGTTCAATAGCAAGGGAGAAGGGCAGAGGGAGGACGACACCGATGATGGAGGGAAGGGGAGGACAATGACGGAGGGAGGAGGAGATCGATGACGAGGGAGGAATGGAGGATGGAGGAGAAGTTCAGTAGCGAGGGAGAAGGGCGGAGGGAGTACGATGCTGGTGATGGAGGGAAGGGAGGACAACGACGGAGGGAGGAGGAGATCGATGCTGAGGGAGGGAACGGAGGAGGGAGGGAATAGAGGAGAGAGGAGTTGATCGATAGTGAGGGAGGGGGAAGGGAGAAGGGCGGAGGGAGGACAACACCGATGATGGAGGGAAGGGGAGGACATCGGCGGATGGAGGAGAAGATCGATGACAAGGGAGGAGGGAGGAAGAGAACTTGACAAAGGAGGGAGGAGGGGGGAGGTGGAGAACGATGGCAAGGGAGAAACGGGGAGGAGGAGGAGCTGCTCAGTTTCCACAGAGAGAGAGAGAGAGTGAGAGAGAGAGAGAGAGAGAAAGAGGGGCTGCTTCCTTCGCTTCTTCCCAGTGCTGCGACCCTTGGCTCCTTCGTGCTGCTGTTCGCAGCTGCACGGGATGTGGCTGAACGATGAAGTGGGGAGCTGCTTCCTGTTGCAGTGAACACGAGAAGAGGAGTACGAGACGACAGCGACGACGAGACAAGGCGGCCGTGAAGGACTGCGTGGCTTCGGGGCACCAAGGTTGACTGTCGGGCTGGGGGCTGACGTGGGGCAGGTTCGAGCAGTTCAAAACATGAACTGCTTGGATCTCCCCGCTCTTTTTTTTTGTGCGGGGGCAATCGCGACCTCAAAAAAAATCTTTTTTTTTGTAGCCGGCGTGAAGTCCCTACCGGGCATACACCCCCCCCCCCCCAAACCCAACTTTCGTTTTTTTTTTTGGGACCCCTCGATTTGCCTGTGCGCCGCATGGCATGCGCGCGCATCATGCGCGCTGCGCGGTGCAGCGCATGTGCGCACTGCAGCGCGTGCCAATGCGCCTGTATGCCTAGTCCAAAAAGAACAGGATCTTTGCAAGCAAGAGTTGTCCTCCACATTTTGAGGATTGCTTGACTGTTTGCCTGATTTTTGGCTTTGCCTTTTGGAAAGTGGTCCAATATGTTTCATTTTTTCAAACCAGAAATAGAAGTTAGTTCTAATTTTTCAGTCTATACAAAATGTTGGGTTTTGTAGTTTTGTATGGTTTTCACGAATCCTGTGTTAACAGTGGAAATGGAAATCTGAGTGTTCTCAGCGCCAAAAAAACAGCAGAAATGGAGAAGAAGATGGTGCCTTACTGCCTCCTGAGTCCTGACTATGTGGCCGGTTGAGTGCGATGAGCACTCGAACTTCTTAAACGCATAAAACCCCTGACACTGCTGACAGGGCGCTTATTTGGCGAAAGGTTCAAAAAATGAGTGTGTGCCCATGGAAACCGCATCAGGACAAAAAATGGAAAGAAGAAAGATTCTTCTTTTGGGGGATAGGGGGTGAGGAAGCTTGATTAAAGGAGGGATAGAAAAACGATGTGCCTGAGCACAAGACCGTGTTTTGCGATGAACTCTCTCTCTCTCTCTCTCTCTCTCTCTCTCTCTCTCTCTTTCTCTGTGTGTGTGTGTGTGGTACACAGAGAGAGAGAGAGAGTTATGACACACATACACAGAGAGAGAGAAAGGTGGGAGTGTGTGCATTTGTGTGTCACAGTGCGTGTATGTGTGTGTGTGTGTGCACATGTGCGTGTGTTGAGAGCTCATGTGTGTGCGTGTGTGTGTGTGCGCTGTGCCCATCCCCTGCCTGTTTCTGCCCCCTGCGGGCCTGCGCATCCACGCTCAGAGGACTGATGATGTACATTACTTCAGACTGAGTCCACAGGCTCCACATTTTGCACGCTGGGAATGGATTCTGTACTTTTCACAGTCCCAGTCTCCCACGTACAGGGATAGAAAAACGATGTGCCTGAGTGCGAGACCATGTGTTGTGATGGACTCTCTCTCTCTCTCTCTCTCTCTCTCTCTCTCTCTCTCTCTCTCTCTCTCTCTTATGTGATGCATACAGAGAGGGAGGGGGGGAGAGAGAGAGAGAGATACTAATTTGGGTTTCTTTGTCACTTTGTGTGGTCTGTGTGATGTGGCACTGCCTGTTGCCACATGCAAATGGGTGTTCCTCCATTCTCTCGGTCGGTGGTTCCTCCATGATTGATGAACTTTGATTGTCGAGTGACTCTATAGTTACCATAACAACATATTCGTTTGGAGATACCATGTCTTGGTCCCTTTCAGAATCTTTCTTTCTTTTCTTCTTGCTTTTTCTTTTTCTGTCCCGAAACTCCAAGGACCCATCAATTCTGGGGGCCATTAGTCCGGTTGGTAATCAGGGGCAATCATGGATGTTGAGAAAGGAGGAGCAGAGTATGGCCTTGCACACCCATTGCCGAAGATGTGGTAATGGGGGGTTGCTGGGGGGGGGGCATAAGTCCGTTTTGCGTATCATGGGCAAGCATGGACGTTGGGAGAGGAGCAGAGAAACAGTATGGCCTCGCAGCCCCTTTGCCCGAGATTTGGGTGGGCAAGCATGGACGTTGAGAAAGGAGCAGAGAAACAGTATGGCCTCGCACCCCCATTGCCCGAGATGCGATATGGGGGGGTGCTGAGGGTGCTGCACTGTGCCGCATTCCTTTCCCTCCTTTGCATCGTGGCCGGGAAACCTTTACACGGTACCGTACCCGGACACAACGCAGGTCCCTGGGGGGCTGGTCGGGGGCACTGGGCAGGGCCTCCAGTCTCGCGGCCTCGCTCCAGTCACTCTCTGATTGATCAAGGTTCAAATTTGCTACTATGTCCCTTTGACACTGCATGACTCTTAGCAACTCTCTCTTACTACTAGATCAATCTCCCCCATACCTTGGTCCATTTCTAGTTCAGTGGGGGTAGTGACATATGTTAATTGCAAAAAACTTTGAACATCATTTCAACTGAGGCCTTCCTCCTTGTCACCACGAAGTTCAGACTAAATCATCACCCCAAGCAGGGGATATGAAGGATCTTGGTGTTCAATCCTTACGTATGATTGCATTATGATGGTGGGCTGTGTTACTACCTGGACGGCTGGGGATGGATCTCGGTGTTCAATGCCATTATGATAGTGGGAACCCCGGCGGCCCGGGATGCCTCACATGGCCCGGCTGGGCCAGGTCCGGGCAAAGTCCTGGTCAAGGTCCCGGGTAGTCCCAGAGCAAAAAAAAAATGAAGTCATGCACAATTGCGAATTGCGAATCAAACATCTTCTGCCTGAGGGTGACCACAAAATTTGCTGAGGAATTTGAAAATAGAGGTAGAAAGTAAAAATAAAGTACTAAATCATATCACACCCCTTTAGCCCCCTTCTTCGAGTACCGCATAGACACCCTTTGGTGAGATATGACCAGACTCAAAGACAAGGCCGGATTGGGCATGTCTCAGTGGGCACAAGCCCCTTAGAGTCCTTTCGAACCCCCCGTATGCGGTGATACCGCATAGACACCCTTTGGTGAGATATCCCCAGACTCAAAGACGAGGCTGGATTGGGCATGTCTCAGTGGACCCAAAATTGCCCCACTGCCAATGAAATAAAATAAAATAATTTGACCCCCTTTTTTGTGTTGCCGTCAACCCACATGCAAGTTTGCCCAGGTCTCCTGGCTGTGGCTGGACAACTGTGGTATCATAGATGGTATCTTTTTTTTTATTATGGTAGTCATACTGTTTCATCCAGGAATAGTAACCCTATGTCTGAGTCCGGGTTTTGTTTTGTTTTTGTGTGTTTTTGTGTGTTTTTGTGTGTTTTTGTGTGTTTGTGTGTTTTTGTGTGTTTGAACTCTGAACTAGGGAGCAATGTTGTTACCGCATTGGAACCCGCATGGGACAGAAATTGCAATGGTGACGGCTGGGCGGGGGATGGTACAAGTGACTTTTCCAAATGGGACACTGGCCATGAAGAAAAATGTGCAGGAGGGTGACATATTTGTCGTGCCGCGGTTCCATCCCATGGTTCAAGTGGCGGCGCAGGATGAATGTTTCCATTTTGTGGGATTCACCACCACCTCGCAGCAAATTCATCCTTATTTCCTGGCGGGCTCATCATCGGTCCTTCATGATGTCGACGCACGACTGTTGGCTGCGGCATTTGGAATATCAGAGAGTAAGGCAAGCAGGCTCGAGGATGCGCAACAGGATGCAATCATCATACCAAAAACAAATACCAGTGAAGTGTCTCGAACGGAGTAGGGATACTGTGATGCCCGTCTCTCCTGAAGTGCTTGGCACACATATAGGGGATTGGATGTGCAAATCGAAGTTAGCAGCCTGCACTATGGTTAGCACGCGCCCCACAAATGGGCTAGGTAAAGCTGTGCCCTTATTGTGGAATGAGGCTGAAGAATGCCATGATTGTACTATGGACGATGTGGCATGTGCTATGAAGTTAGATGTGGTAGGGAGAACTCTGCGATGAACATACTAAGTACCCGGATGTACCCCGGGCATAGTAGGCAGAACTCTGTTGTATGTACTATGTACTATGCACCAGGTGAAGTAGGAAGAACTCTGCCATGAATGTACTATGTGCAAGGTGCCGTAGGTGGAACTATGCCATGATTGTAGTACGGGGTGGATGCTCTGCCATGAATGTACTGTGTGAAACCAAAGCTACTTGTTTGAGTACAAGGTGCCGTAGGTGGAGTACTGGGTGGAACTATGCCATGCCATGATGTGCCGTCCCATGCCCCGGAGGTACTATTAGGTGCCGTAGGTGGAACCATGCCAAGAAGTCACTATGTAGTGTGCAGAATCCCATGAAGTAGGAAGAACTCTGCCATAGTGTGTAGAATCCCATGAAGTAGGAAGAACTCTGCCATGAATGTACTGTGTGAGACCAAAGCTACTTGTGTGAGTACAAGGTGCCGTAGGCGGAACTATGCCATGAATGTAGTACTGGGTGGAACTATGCCATGCCATGCTGTGCCGTCCCATGCCCTGGAGGTACTATTAGGTGCCGTAGGTGGAACCATGCCAAGAAGTCACTATGTAGTGTGTAGAACTTCAACATGTGTGGAAGTTCCGTGGAACTATGTACTATGCCATGAATGTACTATGTAGTTTGTAAAACTTTCCCGTGTGTGGAAGCTCTGTGGAACTGTGTACTTGGTACGCGGTGGAACTATGTACTATGCCATGAATGTAGTATGTATGCACTATACCATGAATGTACGTATGTAGTGTGTAGAATTTTGCGATGTGTGGAACTGTGTACCTAGTAGGGGGTGGAAATATGCCATGAATGTAGTATGTAGTGTGTAGAATTTTGCCGCGCAGCGGGTGGAACTGTGTATGTAGTATGAGGACTTTGCCATGGGTGGAGCTATGTAGTACTAGGTGGAACTATGCCCTGAATGTACTATGTAGAAGTTTGCCATGGGTATATACTATGTGAAACCATCGGGTGGAACTGTGTACTTAGTACTAGGTCGAACTATGCCCTGAATGTACTATGTAGAACTTTGCCATGGGTGTGTACTATGTGAAAGTGTCCCACAGGTGGACCAGGTAAAACCACACACAATTGGATGGACCCAGCAGGTGAGGCCTGGAAGAGCTCAGCAGGGAGTAAGACTGTGTTGGAAAGTCTTAGAAGGGTTTTGGAAAGTCTTAGAAGGGCTTGTTAGGAATTCTGAGGGTTGTGAGCATTTGTAGGACCTCTGTGGCAGCCTACTGGATGAGTAGTTCCTTAATAGGCCATTAGATATTCACAGACGGATCTCAGCGGAAGCCGGGTAATGGCCCCGGTATCTCAAATGATGTCAAATGATGTCAAATGTTCTCAAATGTTCTTAATGATCTGTACGATTCAATATGGGACACTGGGCCCGGTTCCCACCACGTGCTGCTCCCCATGAATAGATTGGAGCAAAAAATGCAGCGCCTTCCTTGGCAGTTGCTTGACAGGGGAAAGCCTTGCAATGAGGGAATCAGGTAGAACCATGGGATGGATGTCATTAAACCACCAGTACTTGACCCAGCTATTGGCTGCGGGCGTTTCACGTTAACGCGCTGGTAGTTGCGGGCTTCGGGGCACCAAACCACAGTGGCTGGAAGCGGCAGCCAAAATGAAAACGAGAGGAAGCCCTGGCAGCTCGGCATAACTTGGCGCACAGGGGGTATTCCGGCTTGGCATCGATAGCTGGGCCAAGTACTTGTGGTTTAAGTAGAATGCTATGATGTGGTTGGACTACGTAGAACTATGTGATGGGTATAACAGTAGTAGGTAAAGTGGTGTTGCCTACAAAGTCCGTAGATAAATCCTGGCAAGGGGGTGTGTGCTTTGTGAGCAGCCATGGGTTTGTTTAGCCTACATGTTGAACAGCCCTGTCGAGTCAGAAATTGTGTGGTGCAAGGAATGCTTTTTCGTTGGTTTTCCAGACAAGGGGTGGCAAGGTTATTTCGAGTACTTGTACCATTATATGCATACAAGGTCACTGGTGTGGAAGGGGAGGGAAAAATCATCCTGTCAACAAGCACTCAAAACAGTAGTACATCAGACTCACACCAGGCAGTCTAAATCACAGAATCGCAAAATCGGCGGCCATATCCAGTCCTAGTCGGACTCGATCTGGATGGCCGCTTATTTGGCTGGCCGATTGATGGAAAATGGCTGATCTGTGAGTAATGCTCTCAGACTGTGATTTTGAGACCCCAGTGGGACAGTCACTATACTCTGAGTCTCTTAGGGATATGCCGTTGACGGACTGATATACATTTGGCTGATCTACAGTCTGTGAGTCTTGACATTTATGCACAGCCAACTTTGCACCAGATGTTAGATGGTAGCGACGGCTGGCAGTGACCATGACTGGTTGAATACCAGGGGTAGTCAGGTAGGGATGGGGAAACAGTACCACTGCCAGCAATTCAGCATCACTGTTACCAAACTAGCAGCTGAACGGAATACTCGTGAATGTGAGATGCTCGTGAGATAATTGCCAGACTTGTTCGGCAAGGCCAATGAGCTACAAGATCGCACAATGCCTTCCGTCGTACAGTGTCGTCAAAAATTGAATGTGCCTGGACATTGAGGAAACCAGGCCACGAAGTGGCAACAGCATCAGAATCAGAAGCGCACTGCTGCAACTGCGTACTCGTACCAATGAACAAAGGTATTTTGGTCGGCAGTGTCGGTTTCCCCAGGTGTTCACTTCCCTGTTACCAAATTCAGGTGGCAGCAACGGCAGGCAGTTGTCATTAACAGTGGAACCGAACACAAGGGGTAGTTGGGTAGAGATGGTGAATTGTTGGGGTGGGATTTCTGTAGTTGAAATACTGATGTAGTCGGTATGCTAGGCTGTTTTCATTTGAAGGTAATGTTTTGACTTGAGAGACAAAGAAAAGAAAAGAAAAAACAACTGTCATGAATGTCGTGAAGTTCTTTGACGATGTTTGGTGTGCTGAGAATACTCAAAGCGCTAGGTCAAATCAGTTTTGTTGATGTGAACTGATCTGAGCTGTGTGTTTCGCTCGGCAGTTTGCAAGAAGAGCAGACTACAGCTGCGTTGTGCAGGATGGAAGTGACCATTGGTGTTGGTGTGATCATTGGTGTTGGTCCTGTCGGAACAGTCGGATGCAAGTGAGCATGATCGCTGCAAACTATGTTATGCATGCACAGCATTGAGGAAGGGGGGAGGGACTCTGAAGGAGGTAATGGCATTATAGTGTTGGTGTGACCTGGTGTTGGTCCTGTCGGAACAGTTGGATGCAAGTGAGCATGATCGCAGCAAACTATGTTTATACATGCACAGCATTGAGGAAGGGGGGAGGTACTCTGAAGGAGGTAATGGCATTATCGCCAATCGAGTGTACCACTGTATGAGTTTTGCCGATGTAAAATGAACCTTGTCTGTGGACAGTCTGCAGAAGAGCAAACCGTAGCTGTACTTGTGCAGAATGAAAACAACCATCGATGTTACTGCAGTAACCCTGTTCAGAAGTAGTCTGGGGCTCAGAACTCAGCCCCAGGCAATGCAGTCCACATTTGGTCTGCGCTGGGCTGTGTGACCATGACACGCCCTCGCCTGAGTCTGTCGCGTTTGGCTGTGTGACCAAACGCTGCACCCAGGAAAGTGAAGGGTCAAAGTCAACTGTACAGTAAAGGTACCGCGCCAGGCCCTTGGTTGGATACACTCGCTTGTTGTGTGCAGGTACCCAGACACGCATCCAGTGCGAAGGGAATTCAGTTCAGGCCAGTCTGGGCCTTCGTTTGTATCAAGATCTGGACGGCTCAAGGTTGCAGCATCCGGGGTCCAGACCCCAAGTTAACGCTAGCATTGACCTCCCTGGCTTTGACATTCATTCATTCTGTCTTGCGTTGATGCTGACTTCACGCGTCGACTTCAACGCTGGCTCAACGCTGCGACGCTGGCTCCATGCGGCAACGCTGGCATTTGTGATTCGGCGAGGCGCTGCTGGTCCGGCATGGTGGCTGGCTTGCACCTGTCTTCTTGGCATGCTGACATGGCAGCCGCCATGCGCTGTCGCTGAAGGGGCCGCTGCCACGTGTATTATTAGATGACATGGTTGCGGCCACTCTTCTACTGTGGCTGACGAGGCGAGGCTATGGGACTTGTATTGCTGTTCTAATTATCATCATTCGGGAGGAGATTGGGACTGTGGAGAGATCGTGGACACGTACCTGATGGTCTTCATGTCGACATTTCTCCAACGCTGATGAGGGACTAATTAGACGTGCCGCGTGGCACATTGAGGCTACTTCGGTTACTTGTTTATACGATTGATTATTGAGGTGGTAGTCGAGGAGGGAGCCCAAAGCAGGAGTGGGCATTGTACTTTCCTCTCCGTTGTCTCATCTCACTCCTCTCTTCGTTTGTGTATGATTACCTCATCTCATTTTGTTCGGTTATGATTTTGACTAGTGGTAATCATCAGCGGATGGACATTTATTTGGGCTTGCATTGTTGATGACTATCTTCACGATTTGGGTTCATTGCAATTTGGTATCGGAGCAATTCTCCTGATGACGACGATTGTACACGTGTGCACATGTCAGGTGGCGCACAGGTAAGTGTAATGCACACGTGTCTTGAGTAGGTGCTGACGTGGCAAGAGATACGTCGGGGGTGCTGACGTGGCACAAACTTCACTGGCGAGAAAACACTGTCGGATTTGCTGACGCGGTACAGTTGACTTCGCTGGCCAGAGGATATCCCTACGAGGCTGCTGACGTGGCAGTAGGGATTGCGACCAAGGGTATCGCGACACTGACGTGGCATAGTGATTCCCTGCTGACGTGGCATATGTTGTGCTGCGTCTGAAGACCTTGTTGCTGATGTGGCATTTTTGTTGATGATATGCGACAAGGTCTATTGCAGGTGCTGACGTCGCCTTGAGGAGACAGGATTGAACGCTGATGTGGTAGGAAGCAAGCGACCACAATTGTTTTTGTGAGGTGGTGACCGCCTGCTGACGTGGCATTAGCCTCTTTGGCCGATGTGGCATGGTCTGATTGGCTGGAACGGTGGCGGTATCCCAATGTGACGCGTGGAAGTGGCACGTGATAGGATCAGAAGACACATTTGTTGACGTGGCATCCTGCTATTGGTTGACCGGACATTGAAAGAGCTGACGTGGCAGGATTTGCTGTGTTGGCACTCCAGGGATGACACGTGGCAAGCAAGATTACTGCCAAGTAAGAGAAGCATTCTGAAGACGACGACGGTAAAGTTGATTGACCACTATACAGCTGTAGTGCCAGTTGTCCGACAGAGTGCAAAATTTGTTGTTGTTGTTGACATACTTACCTTGTCGTTGCTATGTTGTGGTGCTTGCGTACTTGTGTGTTGTGTCTGATCACACGGCCTGGCGTGGTATCTGTAGACTCGTAGGATGTCATCACACAGACGAAAGAACAGCAACCAGTATAAGTAGAGATCTGCTCCTTTTTATTATTTTTTTTTATTTTTTTGTTTCATTATTGCGAATATTGTCTCAAATTTGATTTCCGAGATGTTTGGTGTATGGATATTACTCTTGTTTCTTTTTCCAATGACATTCTTAATGGGTGAAGGATCTTTTGAACCCAAGACTAGGAGACAGGCGGAAACAAAGAAACAAGAGTTACTGGCTCTATAGGACCGGCTAATGAATGATTTCCATTTGTTCGGACCGGAAGGCAAATGACACGTTCGTAATATGTTTGATTTAAAGACGGTAGAGGAGATTCATAGGATGGCATCACACACACGAAAGAAAAGCAATTAGTATAAGTAGAGACCTACTCCTTTTTTTTATTTTTTTTTATTTTTTTGTTTCACTATTGCGAATATTGTCTCAAATTTGATTTCCAATATGTTTGGTGTGTGGAAATTAGTCTTGTTTCTTTTTCCAATGACATTCTTAATGGGTGAAGGATCTTCTGAACCCAAGACTAGGAGACAGGTGGAAATAAAGAAACAAAAGTTATTGGCTCTATGGGACCAGCTAATGAATGATTTCCGTTTTGTCCAGACCGGAAGTCGAACGACACGTTCGTAATATGTTTGATTTAAAGACGGTAAACGACCGTCTAAAGCAAGCAATTACGACCGTTGAAGTTGTGGCTGCCGCTTCCGAAGTGTCTAAAATGATAGTTCAGTGCCAGAAGGCATTGGACTAGTTTGCTATCAAGCAGTTGGAAGAGTCGTGGAGTTATCAAGGAAAGGGGACTTCAGACCAGAAGTGACCGAGGCTACGATTGACGCAAACATCCAGCAACTAAGAGAGGTGT